TTCCAGAGAATAAGAGTGTACATAATGATTTTATGAAATGAGGCCATGATGGATGACAGTCCAGAAATCCTAACACTGAATGAATTAATGGCTGGACAGAGAGTAGTAGAGAGTGAGTAGAGAGTAGAATGTCGAGCTTGATAAAGCTAGATACTCTATGTGCAGAAAGAGACACATTTAAGATAGCATTTATCACACCTTCATTTTCCAACAGTGTAGGTATTTATAGCGCTGTAGGCTGCTCCATAGTCACTGGGGAGAAACAGGCAATTGTTGGGAGGAATTAATCTGGCCTATTTTTATGTGTTTTAGGATGCAGTGAATCATACTCTGTCACCCTCTGCTAATATTGCATATGTCGTTGTTGTAAAAGGATACTATGGTGGGTAAAGAGCAATATCTGCTTGAAGACCTGTGAAACTCACCAAGTTCTCCAGCTATGCCATATCTTGAATTTCCAAGATCAGTGGGAAATTAGTTGCTAGTTTCAATTGTGCACAATTAAGCTCGTGCTGTACAATAGAGATATGTTATTGGGATGGAAGAGACAAATTGATGCAAGTGTAGTAAGAGTGGACTTGTTAATTGTATCCCACCTCTGCATAAGGATGTGTTTTGCTAAGAGAAGAAGAAGATATATGACTGCAATATTGTCAAAAATCTGTAGTAATAGGAGGAGGGGGAAATGAGGAAAGGTGTGAGTTGAAAGCCCAGAAAAGTGCATGTTGTTTAACAGCTGTAATTCTAACAGCCTCTAGCAGCGTACCAGTAACACCATCATTTCAGCATTCAGCCCTAGACCAGTTCTCAGAAGCACACTATAGTCATTCAGTGGCTATTAATGCTTCCAGGACATTTCAGCAGTTTTCTCAGATTTCCTATACCATAATAAATAAACCTGTAAATATACATAAATTGAGGCTTAATGTTGTTCTTGGAATTCTGATGACAGCCGCTCAAGTTTCACTCTCATGATTGTTGATGCACCTGAATGTAGTCCAGATGTAGGAAATACATCTTTTGTGTTATTTCATCTATTTGATTTAAGGAGTCTTAAAATGTATCATTCTTTCCTGTGCCATAGATGCCTGTAAAGTCCGAAAATACTGAGGAAAAACTGAGGTAAAAAATACATTCCCCAGAAAACATTAGTGACTTGTAATGTTTTGAATGTCAAAAACTTGTATACTGGTTTCCTTCCTGCAAGCTAGCTTCGAGATCTGATACAAATTGTGTTGATTAATTTTGGTGGGAATAGGACTTGGACTTCTGTTTTTCTGTATAATATTTCATGTAAGTGAAGCTTGAATAAAAGTTTTGTGTTTTTTTGTGGAAAAGGTACTAATGGAGCTCTGAAGTCCACGTTGTTCAGCTGTCTTTTTAGCAAAACCTTAGCCCAGTCCATATAGCAGTGTAGCAAAAATTTATAAAGGCCTCTGAACTGTTCGCAGATTACTGTAGCAAATCCACCATTTTACAGAGCATATACTGAACAAAAGGGAAGATTTGTGAAAGTCATCAGCTTTTATGGGTGTGCATGAACACTTTCATGACTCATCTCAGCTCTCGCTTGTTAGTGGAAATGGGGATGAACTAAAAAGGTCTGAAGTCGCACAAGACGCTAATTATTCTTGTGTACTACAGAGCTTGTTTATGCTGGCTGAGGCGGTACATCCATCAAAGCCAAAAGAATTGCATTTTGTCACTATAGTTCTGAGTGCTGGCAGATGAAGAAAATAGTTTCTTTGTCTTTCTTGTATGTCACATTGTTGATGTTGTTTCTGGCTTAAAATCATTTGGGAAGGAAGCATGACCTGAATTGGCTGAAGTAAATGTTCTTTTACTTTGCATAAGCCCTGGTGGTACATCATAGAGATGTAGGACTTGATTTTAATCCAGTGCTGCACCTCAGGAAGCACCTAAGCATGTTTAAGTTCCATTGACTTCAAAGGGTACGAAGATGGCTTGCTCAGATGTAAACCTCTTAAATTATATACACATGGCCAAGTCAACATCACCTCAGAGATATCATTACTAATGCTAAAAGAAAAGCCACAAGTGCCAGAGGGAGTAGAAGGTAGTCAGGTAAAACAGAGCATAGATAAAACTCATGAGTTAATTCTTAAAGAAATGTATGAACCAGCTGTAGGGGCAGATACGCTAGAAAGGACAAACTTTGCATGATCATCAGGAAAAAAGGAATTATTACAGAGTTCAAAGAGTATTACATTCTGAGTCAGTTGCTAAAAACACTCATTCAAGGGGTAAGGACCAGAAACCTGGAAAGAGTGAATTGTCAATGGGAACAGGAACTTCTCAGCCAACTGTGGAATACAGATAAAAAGAATGCCACTCTCACAGTTCCTAGTCCTAAGTAAATCTCCCTTACCCTAAGGTAAGGCTAAAAGAAGGAATCTGATATATTGGTCTAGGAGTCAAAGTTACTGAAGCAACCAAAACAATTAGTCCTCTTCAGGTAGCTGGAGAACTTGACAAGCTGAGATTAGTCACGCAGTATTAAGCAAATAAGGGTGGAATTGATTAAAGACAGGTACCTACAGTCTAGATTCTGCAACTGAATTAACAACTTCAGGCTCTCTTGGGAAGAAATAAGCATTTTTTAGGATGAAATTCTTCTGACCCATTTTAGATGTTTGCTTTAGAAATATATTAATTTAAACATGAGTCAGCAGTGCACCCGTACAGAGATGAGGTTTAACCATATACTGTGCTACATTAGCAAACTGGTAGGTCAAGAGAAGCAATTGTCTATCTCTATTTGGCTCTTGTGAGACTGCATCTCAGCAGAGTACTGTGTCCAGTTTTGGGCTCCTGTGTACAAGGAAAGCCATTAATCGGCTCAGCAGAGAGCATGGAGACGGCACTAGAATATGCAGCATGTAACGATTGACTGAAAGCTGGGTTTGTTCAGCTTAGAGAAGAGCATCTTCATCTACCTAATGAGCTTATAGAGAAGATGAAGCCAGACTCTTCTCAGATGTGAACAGAAAAAAACCAACCAAACAAAAACCGCAAGAAGCAGTGGAAGCAACCTGCAGCAAGGGAAATCCTAATCAGATGCATGGCAAAATTCTTCATGCAGGAAGTTGTGTGTGTGCAGGTTGCCCAGAGAGGTTGTGATAGATTTGAGATTTGGAACCTCCAAATCTCTTTGGAGGTTTTTGGTCCTTGACTGGAAAAGGCTTTGAAGTGAGTATGGGTGAGTGTGTGAGGTAATGAACAGTATTACATTTGTTGCATACCTCTTTGGAGGCTGATACAGCATACAAGGCAGTGGAGAATAAGGCATTACTTGTTATCTACCCACACAGATAAACTTTGTGAAGCGTTCCCATTAGTAATCCCTTATTTTTGGCATCATCTTTCTGAATATAGAACAGATGCTGCATTTAGAGCTGTATAATCCTAAGAGGAGTGAAGAAAGACCCAGTCCCCATGAACAAGTGCCTCCTCTGGAGAATAGCATTTCCTTGGGAAACTGTATAAAGATGACTCTATGGAATTGGTGACCAAATGCAGAATTTAGCCCGTAATCCTCCTCTCATCTTCTTTTTTCATCTCCAAACCCTATTCTTGGTACAGCACAGAGGCTCCCTCCTGACTATCACACTTAGACGTCTTCCAAAGGAAAGCAAGGCCCATGGGAATGCTATGCCACTGGCTCTCCTTCAAGCTGCAGCTAAGACATACCCCCAGGGTGAATCCAACTGCCAGTTCTGTAACACACTCTTGGGTTCCCTAGTTTACGTGTACTTTGAAAGTAACTTAAGCTTTGAAAGTAGGATGCTAGACACACAAGCTGTCCAAGTTTAATTGCACTAAGATGGTTTAACGCAAATGCAGAACTTTTAAATGTTCCTTTTCCAGCTTCATTTAACTCAGGTGGCTTGATTTTGGGCATGACCTCACTAGCACGGAGTAAATGAATAGTGAATTGCTAATACTATAAATATTCTGAAGAACAGTAAAATACATGGACGTGAGTAGTTCCTAATCCAAGTTTCATATTCTCTACTGAAGGGAACAAACTGTCCCTTATACTTTCTGATAATCTTTTGGAGATAATACTGGTAGGATAAAAGTTTTGTTTCTCTCTTTAGCGTTAATTACAAATTTAAATTGTTGATTGTCACTTGCCTTACTTGAAGACATAAATACCCAGAATTTTGGACGTGATCTTTTTTTTTTGGAGAGAACTTGAACTGAGATAATATGAGTAACATTTCCTTACTTTGTATTCATAATTCTTCATAAGGCTTATACTCAGAAACCTTCATAACTCTTCACTTAGCTTAGAAGGCATGCATTATAGTCACCTTTAAACAAATAGAGCATGCTTGATCCAAGTGCCTGTAGCGGGCTATAGGAAGATTTATGCTCATTCACAAGATACTGCTTTTGAGCCACATTTATAGAGACATCAGCATGGGCAAAACCATAACAAGTAGTTACTATCTACTAGTAACAAGTTGTTACTAGTGCTACTATAAAACATGCCTATAACATTTTATGACACACCCCCTTCCTGAAATAAATATACAGAAGCATTCTTTGTTCAAATCTCTGTTATTTAGTTTAGGAGAGGTGATTTTGTTAGTCCATGCCCATTGTTCCAAAAATTCTCCGGTCATGATGCGCTCCCATTGTATTTGTGATGCTGAGTCCAATGAACTACTTTTACTTTTTTTAACATTTCCTTACCTTTTCTTAGCATGATCCCATCAAAATGACATAGTTTTAATGAGACATTTTGCAAACAATGTATTAACTGACCTAAAAATAATCTGGTTAATCAACAGACTCTTACGATTCCCTTAACATTTTTATACAAAATACCATCTTTGCAACTTTCTTGAAAGAGTCTAATCTTTCTTGAACTACTCATCCAAAGCTTCCACCAGGTCTTTATAAGGTAAATACAGTAGGGTAATTCGGACCAGGCTGAGCTTTCAAGTCTGTTACTGCTGGTTTTGTTTCAGGATGTGTTGGAGTTTGGGATAACATCACCTGTTGGCGTCCTGCGAAGATTGGAGAGACTGTCACTGTCCCTTGTCCAAAAGTATTTAGCCTTGTTTCTGGCAAACCAGGTATTTCATTTTAAGGTGTATTTTTGCTGGCTTCTCTTTGGTATTTTATAACATAATATACTAAAAATTGGGGTTTTTTTGCAGTTTAACGTTTTTATTTTCTTTTTAAAGAGTTAAAATAATAGATTCTTAACAGAGCTGTTCATGATACATCATGAAAAGACCAAATAATTGTCTTTGTGGTTCATATGGTGTTCTTTGAGACAGATACTAAATATACATGGACGTGTAGTTCCTAATCCAAGTTTCATATTCTCTACTGAAGGGAACAAACTGTCCCTTATACTTTCTGATAATCTTTTGGAGATAATACTGGTAGGATAAAAGTTTTGTTTCTCTCTTTAGCGTTAATTACAAATTTAAATTGTTGATTGTCACTTGCCTTACTTGAAGACATAAATACCCAGAATTTTGGACGTGATCTTTTTTTTTTGGAGAGAACTTGAACTGAGATAATATGAGTAACATTTCCTTACTTTGTATTCATAATTCTTCATAAGGCTTATACTCAGAAACCTTCATAACTCTTCACTTAGCTTAGAAGGCATGCATTATAGTCACCTTTAAACAAATAGAGCATGCTTGATCCAAGTGCCTGTAGCGGGCTATAGGAAGATTTATGCTCATTCACAAGATACTGCTTTTGAGCCACATTTATAGAGACATCAGCATGGGCAAAACCATAACAAGTAGTTACTATCTACTAGTAACAAGTTGTTACTAGTGCTACTATAAAACATGCCTATAACATTTTATGACACACCCACTTCCTGAAATAAATATACAGAAGCATTCTTTGTTCAAATCTCTGTTATTTAGTTTAGGAGAGGTGATTTTGTTAGTCCATGCCCATTGTTCCAAAAATTCTCCGGTCATGATGCGCTCCCATTGTATTTGTGATGCTGAGTCCAATGAACTACTTTTACTTTTTTTAACATTTCCTTACCTTTTCTTAGCATGATCCCATCAAAATGACATAGTTTTAATGAGACATTTTGCAAACAATGTATTAACTGACCTAAAAATAATCTGGTTAATCAACAGACTCTTACGATTCCCTTAACATTTTTATACAAAATACCATCTTTGCAACTTTCTTGAAAGAGTCTAATCTTTCTTGAACTACTCATCCAAAGCTTCCACCAGGTCTTTATAAGGTAAATACAGTAGGGTAATTCGGACCAGGCTGAGCTTTCAAGTCTGTTACTGCTGGTTTTGTTTCAGGATGTGTTGGAGTTTGGGATAACATCACCTGTTGGCGTCCTGCGAAGATTGGAGAGACTGTCACTGTCCCTTGTCCAAAAGTATTTAGCCTTGTTTCTGGCAAACCAGGTATTTCATTTTAAGGTGTATTTTTGCTGGCTTCTCTTTGGTATTTTATAACATAATATACTAAAAATTGGGGGTTTTTTGCAGTTTAACGTTTTTATTTTCTTTTTAAAGAGTTAAAATAATAGATTCTTAACAGAGCTGTTCATGATACATCATGAAAAGACCAAATAATTGTCTTTGTGGTTCATATGGTGTTCTTTGAGACAGATACTAAATATATATTCTGATACAGTGACACTCATCATGGCTGAAGAGGTTCCTTGCTCTTTTTGACCTATTTATGTTAATTATTAAGGCAGCTGAGCCTCACTGACATCTTTAACAGTTGCCAGCAGGTCACATGCAGGTTGTTCCTTCTGTGCTTAGGAGGAGAGCTGTGCCTTGCCTTCATGGGAATAATGAGCCAACATTAACACATAATACCTAAAAACTACCGCTATTGCCATTTAAGGTAGTTATGATGAAACCTTTGATTCTGCTTTTTAATGGAACTTGAAAAGAGCTCTTCAGTGTCTCAGACTGCTGAAACTTTTAACTGTTTTAAGTCTGCTGTCTTCTGCACCATTTTGTCAATGTATCATACTGTGGTTTAATTTTGCAATTTGGCTTGTTAGTGGGGTTTTAAAAATAGATGATGCATACATAGCATTTCACATATGTATCTCAAAATGCAGCAGGAAAAATCTTATCCCCATTGCTCAGGTGAGAACCTTTGTTATGAAGAGCTGGTGAAAGATGCAAAACTTATTACAGTGATTTAATTCTGCTTTTGAGGTCTCTGTGGAGAGCTTTTTAACAATATTACTTTTAACATAGAGGCTAACTTGGGGTATGACTGAAATACCCCAAACTGTTGATTAAGTCTTGTTCCAGTAAAAAATAGATAACTAAAACAATCTACAGATGAGCAAAGGTTTTCATTCCTGGAGCTGGTGAATCTTGATTAGTTTATCATGGATAGTCTAAACAGTTTATAAAGGGGAAAGTATGTGTAATCTTCACTAAATCTGATGAAATCTATAAAATGACTCAAATGAAGATATCAAGGTGTTGTCATGAGACAAGGCAAACTAATAAATATCAAAAATTCAAAATCTTAATTAAATCACATTGCTTCTGTCTATTTGCCAAAAACTGGAGCGTGCACGCGCTCTCTGGAGTTTGGATGTTTGATATTTAACAACTGTTGGTATCTTATATTACAATAACATTTTAATTTTCCTATAAAACAACTGCAATAAATATTTATGTCTGAAACCTTCAAAATGCATTACAAGTCTATCTCAATTGGGCATGGTGTCATCAAGACTGAAAAATTACTTCCTTTTTATAGTTTTCTACAATTTTCCCGTATACAGCTTTTTTCATAGCTACCTGTTTACTTCTTGCTTGTGGAACTAACAGGGTGGTTTTTTAGGGGTACCTGTTCAATTAAGAGGATTTTTTAAATCTTGTCTTTCTATAATTTCAGAGAAGGAAGACAACAAACATCTTGCATGGTTGATTCAATTAAGATCTAACTAAGTATCTCAGCACCTTTATAATTTGATTATGCTCAGCAATATATAATTTATTTAATTCATACACAACACATTTCAAATTCACTTAATTCTTACGGCAGGAAATTATAAAAATATTATTAAACAAGAAATCTAACTCTTTTTATTTAGCCAGATATGCGAGATGTATGTTTTAGTTTTTTCAGGGTTTAAGAGTAACTAAAATTCTACTACAGGATGATCTAGATGACCTTATTTTTTATGGAAATGTTCCAAATCATAAGTAGGCATCAATTCTTTAAAGGATTTCTTAATTTAAATTGTGAATTAAAAAAAGTAGTTGTCTTCTCATCTTTACAACTTTTGGAGAACTGGCTCTTAATTTCTTCTGTGATGGTCAAGGTTATAGTTTAAGCATACCACATAATTAATTCTCTATTGAATATTAGTAACTTTATATTAAATTACTTCTTACTGTAAAAGCAATCATATTATCCTATAATGTTTTTTCTGTATTGTACATAACGATGTAAGTATATGACTATCAGGAGGTTATTCTGTGAATTTTTTATTCAAATGTATGTGTCAAGTTATGGGTTTTAAATGAGGTTGCCATCTGAAATACTTAATTGCATGGAACAATGGTGTAGAAATAAACAGCGTCTTCCATAGAACATTCAGTAAGGCCTTTGACACCATCTCCCACAGCATTCTCGTAGAGAAGCTGGCGGCTCACGGCTTAGACAGGTGTACTCTGCGCTGGGTAAAAAACTGGCTGGACGGTCTGTTCTCCCAAGTAACTAGCGATAGGACGAGAGGAAATGGCCTCAAGTTGTGCCAGGGGAGGTTTAGATTGGATGTAAGGAAAAATGTCTTTACTGAAAGAGTGGTTAAACATTGGACCAGGCTGCCCAGGGAAGTGGTTGAGTCACCATCCCTGGAGGTATTTAAAAGACGAGTAGATGAGGCGCTTAGGGACATGGTTTAGTGGGTGGTGGTGTTGGGTCAACGGTTGGACTCAATGATCGTAGAGGTCTTTTCCAACCTCAATGATTCTATGATTCTATGAGTCCTAACTGTCTTTAAGCTAGAAGGCCTTACAGTACTTATAGTAGAAAATATATCAGCATCTTGAGTACATAGTCTTTTTCTTGCAAAACTGGCTTTGATGTAATTTGTGGTTCTGTTAACACATTCCTCTGCTCTGCCTAGTCAGAGCATCTTGATGTACTTTTAAAGTGAAGACTCTTCAGAGTGTATAAATAGGTTACATTTTCTTCAGAAAATGCCATGTCTATGCCAAATGGCAGAAGTGGTCCTGTTGTTTGAGGAGACACTGTGGTTTGCGGTCAAGGCCTTGTTATAAGCTAGAAAGATTTGGTTGTTGGTTGATCAACCATTTGTAGGATATTTACAACTTTCCACTGAAGACTTCATACAAAGAAGAAATTCCAGTAACCAATCAGCAAGATGAAAATCACAAAAGCTTTAGTTTGGAGTGTATATAACACATTTGGTTATTCCAGACCAGCACGAGGAAGAGACTTCCCCCAAAGCCTGAGCTGCCCTTGCAGAACCGCTTCACCGCTCTGCAGGCCGAAGAGTAAAGTCCTGTCACACCAGGAGAAGCGCTGGAGCTGAGTAATGCAGCCCCATCTGGCCCCTGTATAACAGCCAGCGCAACTAAGAAAAGGCGACGGGTGACAGCAGTAGGCGACTCTCTTCTGAGAGGTACGGAGGCACCCGTTTGCTGACCAGATGCACTCTCTAGGGAGGCGTGCTGCTTACCGGGGGCTCGCATCAGGGATGTCACCGAGAGGCTTCCAAGCCTCGTACAGTCCACTGACTATTATCCGCTGCTGCTGTTTCACGTGGGCACCAGTGATACAGCTGGAGCAGCCTGAGGACTATCAAGAAGGACTACAGAGCCCTGGGAGCGGCGGTAAGGGACTCGGGAGC